TGTGATGACCCCAACTGTAATGGGTAGCTGTTCCATTTTTGACCTGGAAGTACTACCCCCAGTGAGACTCCTGGTAACTGTCATGCCTACCCATGGCCTGCCTCTGAGGTAGGGCCAAGATGGGAGCCCTTAAGACCCAAGATCCAGATGTACTGGCTGTCTTGGTTCCTGGTGATCCTGGATGTTGGATGGTAGACTTAGCAGAGTTCTCCAGAGAACATTGCTGGACTGTACCTCACCTCTCCTGGATCCTGTAACCTATCCTTTTACTTGTAAGTTACCCCCAAATAAACCTCCCTTTTAACTATATGGAATTGCCTTAATATTTCCACCAATACCCAACCATAAATTCTTTCATTGCTATTTTATAACTGTAATTTTGCTGTTGTTATGGATAGAACTGTAAGTATCTGATATACAGTATGTCTGATATGTGACCCCTGAGAAAGGGTCGTTTGACCTGTGCATCCCCAAAGGAACTGCAACCCACAGATTGAGAACTGTTGCTCTATTCCTAGTGTTCATGACTTATATATCCACAATATAAAAAACAAACTGTAAAACAAGTCAAAAAAGGGAGACCAAATAATCATGCATAAACAAGATAGTAAAATGGAATGTTCATAACCAAAGAGCATCAAAACATGAGAGATCGTGTGCTGTGGGATAATGCTTTTGTACACTGGTTTAATAAAACATTGATTGGCCAGCAGCCAGGCAGGAAGTGTAGGCGGGGTGAGCAGACTGAGGAGAATTCTGGAAAGAGGAAGGACAGAGTGAGGGGTTGTGAGCTAGATGCAGAGGAAGCAAGATGAGAATGTCTAACTGAGAAAAGGTACCAAACCACATGGCTAAACATAGGTAAGAATTATGGGTTAATTTAAATGTAAGAGCTAGTTAATAATAAGCCTGAGCTAATGGCCAAGCAGTTATAATTAATATAAACCTCTGTGTGTTTACTCGGCAGGACACAGGAAAACTTCCAGCTACAATTGTGTAAAAAAATGGGCCTTCTTATAAAAAAAATCCTCATATCTGGGGAGATACTTTATAGCTTAAGTTTTGAGTGAGTGAGAGGTCCCAAGTGTGTATGTAGTGGTTTGAAACAAAATGCCCCCCAAAAGGAGTGGCACTGTTAGAAAGTGTGGCTTGGTTGGAGTAGGTGTGGCCTTGTTGGAGGAAGTGTGTCACTTGGGGGTGGACTTTGAGGTCTCCTTTGCTCAAGCTTTACTCTGTGTGACACTCCTTCTCTAGCACATGTCTGCCTGTATGCTGCCTTGCTCCCCACCATGGCAATAGTGTACTAAACCTCTGAACTGCAAACGAGCCACCACCATTAAATCTATAAGAGTTGCTGTGATCATGGTGGCTCTTCACAGCAATAGAAACCATAAGAGTGTGACATTCAGTAGTAGCATCTGGGGCTTGTAGGAACCCTCAGACACCTGTCATTTTTCTGCCTCTGCAAGGGCAGCAAGGCTGAGCTGACACTTAGGATGCATAGGGGCAGCACAGGAAAGTGACCTTGATGTAAAGGTAGCCTCCAAATGTGCAACCAGGTGAGCTATTCCCGAGGCCGCAGAGCAGAGCCACGCAGAGAGTAAACTAAAATCTTCCAATGCACTGAGCCAGTGTGAAACAGTGAGATCAAGATGAATCCAGAGGGTGGATTAAGACAGAATGCAGGGTTATTAGAAGGACCACACTATGAAAATCCTCTCACATAATATTGCTATGTCTTATTTTTTTCTGCCTGTTACCTGTTCCTATTGTCTATATAATAATGAAGACAGAACTGAGGATGACCAAGGGACTCAAAAACATGGAAAGGATCAGAGCCAATAGATTTGGGGATTTTGGAATCACAGGATCAGGCTGCAATCTCCCTGTTAGGTTATTGAGAAACGGTGGATTCTATCTATGGATGTAACATATAGGTGGGAACAATCTAACATCTCACAAACACACAGTTTCTCAGAAATATTTTCTTTGGTATCTCATGTTTCATTAACATTTAGTAGGGTGTTTATGTCTTTTGCACTGTCTATCCCCGTCTTTGTTTAAAACTTATGTTTGGCATATCTCACAGGCCACTAACTTGCATCTGTGTTTAACACTGGTTTCTCCTGTGTCTCACAAGACACTTTCATACTTACTGTTTATAATTGATGTTTCTCATGAGTGTTTTCAAGTCTATTTGTTCCCCCTGTTTTTGTGATGAGAACTGAATCCTCTCAGATAATAGAGCAAACACAGCTCAGAAAGAGGAAGATATAAACAGACCATGCAGAGACTAGCCTTCTGTGTGTGGTGGAGATTGTGCTAAACAAGGGACACCGGCAAAGGGTGGCAAAGGGATCCTCTTCCATAGGATTTTCCCCACATGTCCTATTGGCTCCAATGCTGTGGATTGTCCTTACTGGTTTTTAGGGATGATTCAGTAGTCACCGAAGAAAGTCCTACACACAGCTGTGTGCTTTAAAAGCTTCCCTATTGTAAACTGTATTATGGTGTTTATTCTTCTACCACCATATCTTCCTCAGGACCGATAAATTGTTTACTTAATGTTGACAAGGCTAAGCTAGAAAAACATGCCAACATTCAGATACTCAGAGGACTGAGGAAAGGGGAATACACAGGTTTGTTTTTCTTCAGGCAGATGGCTCCAGAATCTCTCAAGGTAGAATTAAGACTCACAAAAATTTTGATTGCTAGTAATATAAAATTGGGATTCATAATGTATCCTATCCTAGAATCCATGTTGCAACTAACTGACATTTTCTGTTCAAGCTATACACTTGATTCTGGGTGTTCAGTGTTGTTAAATTCCAGCTGAACTTGAATTTGCTGAGTTCTATAACAAGAGACAAAAATCCCCACTCTTACTTACAGTATACGACTTTATTCTTTGTTTTTCATCTTGGATTATGGAAATCACCAAAGTTTTACCACTATGACTTAAGATGCTGATTGGAGGGTTGAAATAGTTCTGATCCAACATTGGGCAAGTTCTGCTTTCCCAAGCGGACACTCTAGTATGTGTATACATACAACAAACAGATTTTGAAAGGAGCTACTTAGAAATTTGAAGTTCTATATCCAGGTAATTTAGTAATCACCTGGAGGTGGCTATTAAGGCCAATGCCCCAAAGCACAGGTGGTAGGACACCTCCTAAGCACTGCCAGTTTCACCACAGAAAACCCCGCAGCGCCAAAGCTGTCCTGCTCAGGCTTGCATATTGTTTTAATTCTCAGAGCTTGCTTGACCAAAGTGCTTTTTATTTTTAAGTTTTAATGAAAACCAGTTTGCTGTGTTTTAAGGGGATTTTCTCAGCAAGCATGAAAGAAAATGTGCAGAATGATTTTAACAAATTGTGGGTTAAATTTCATGATAAAAAATAAATCGGCTGGGTAAAACAATGCTAAATTAACATTTATGTATTTATGGTCCAAACATTTTAGTATTTAACCAAATGTCACTTTTCATGGATAGACAGAGCAAGTGTGGTTTTGGAGTAGAAGGCTACAAAAGAGTGGATTCAACACAAATATAAAAGTATTTGGAACACTATAAATAATCAAAATTCAGAGATAACAGATAGATTTTGCTTTACATCTTGCTTATACTTAACAAAGAATCTCATGCAAGATGCTGCAGAGTATTTTTAATAAATAAATGTAACATTTTGACTTATTCTTAAATACATATTTTTATAAAAGATTTTGGAAGGAAAAGGAGATTCTGTGTATCTTCACAGATCAACAGAAAGAAATAAATGATTATAGTATTCCAGAATTGTCCTTTGGACAGGAAGGGTGGGAGGAGGCTCATCTATGGTTATAAATAATGCGACTGGAATCTCTTCACAACTGCAGAAAGCTGTTCTCTATACTGTGCTGGGAGAAAATATTCACTGTGGCACCAAATATTCCACCCTGCCTCCCTAGTCCTCTCTTCTTGGGCTCCTGTTTTTTTTTTTTTGTTTTTTTTTTATCTACCCTTAGGCAATTTCTCCCTTGGTGGTATGACTTCCTGCAATTAAAAAATGGATTAGAAGACCGCTTATACCCAAGATATTGGCCTATGGAGATAAGAGAGTTAGCTCCATAGAGGACATGGAAGTAAAACTGGACCTCAGAAGGAGAGGGGTTCCCTGGAAGTGAGTGGGAAGGAGCCCTGCACATCACAGGACAAGCATCTGCCACAGGAAGAGTGCAGAACCCAGCTTATGTTTACTATGCCTCCTCCCAAACGTGGCTGGAAATGGAAAGTGAAATTCTGCTGTGGAAGCGTTTCAAAACAGGTGGATGGGTACAGAGTCCAAAAAAAAATCAGTGTAGGTTCCCACATCAACAGCACCAGACACAATCAGAATGCTGTCCAGTGATCACATTCAGCAAAGGAATTTAACAAAATTGGGTATTTGTCCTGAAAGAGTTCTCAGTAAATTAGGAACAATAAGGGAATTTCCTCAACTCACCATAATAAATTTGTGAAGAGCCTACAGCTAATAACTTAATGGTCAAAGTCTTATGCCTTCATCTGAGGATAAAGACAATGGTAAGATATTTGCTTGTAATGTTTACTTTAACACTGTCCTGGCTGCTGTGGCCACAGATGATGCTTCTTTATATGCCCAAAACAAAACAACAACAAAAAATGGGAGTAGGAAATCGAGAGCACAGAAAGAAAAGGAAAGTTACATTTTTGAGTTGGAACTCAGAAAACAGTCATGCTTACCAGTGAAGATTCACAAGCAATTGCAAGGGGAGGGACTCCTTGGAGGTATAAGCACACTGTCTCTTTAAGGAGGTAATTATTTCTCCTATCTCCTTGGCCTGTTTTCAGGTGAATCATGGTTCCTGTGGGATGGTCTCCTAGATGGGAGAGTGACAGGCCCAGCTGCATTAACTCTTAAGGGAGGAGGCAATGGTATGTAACATTCTAATTTTTGAAGCGTATAGTGGTTTGAATGAAAATGGCCCCCATAGGCTCATAGGGAGTAGCATTATTGGGAAGTGTGGCCCTGTTGGGGTAAGTATGGCCTTGTTGATTGAAGTGTGCCACTGGCTTTAGGGTTTCAGAAGCCCAACCCAGGCATAGTTCCCTCTCTCTTCCTGTTGTCTCTAATCCAGATGTAGCTACCTCTCCAGCACCATGTCGGCCTGTGTGCCACCATGCTTCCTGCCATGATGATAATGGACTAAACCTCTGAACTGTAAGCCTGCCCCAATGAACTGTTTTCCTTTTTAAGAGATATTGTGGTCCTGGTGTCTCTTCACAGTAATAGAACCTAGCTAAGACAGAGCAGATCAGAATGTCATGTCTCCATCTAGGGCCAGAGGTAAAGCTCAGATTCCAGAAGGAGGTGCCTTTCGCTTAATGGGCCTCCACAAAGCTCCAATACCTTTTTCATATGGTATTTTAAATCCTAAGGAGGGTGAATTGTGAAGCTTCTCTTTTTAGGGAGAACAAGGTAGGCTCTAAAGCCAAATATGAGGCAGGGGTTTGCACTGTGGCCTCTAAAGCTGCTAGTAGGTCTTTCTACCTAACAAAATACTTGACAAAAACAACTTCAGGGACAGAGTTTATCTTGTCTGATGATTCCAGAGTACAGTCTATTGTGATAGGGACAGCATTTGTGGGAGGTGGCTAGGCAGCTGGTCACGTTGTCCACAATCAGGAAACAAAGGCATGTGATGGAGTAGAGCTTATCTTCTCCTTATTTAGTTTAGGGCCCCACCTACCCCATGGGATGGTGCTATGCATACTCAGTTAAATCTTTCTAGAAACATCTTCATACATACTCAGAAGTTTGTTTCCATAGTGATTCTAAATCAAGTCTCATTGACAAGATTTATTTATTTATTTATTTTATTTTTATTTTATGTGCATTGGCATTTTGTCTGCATGTATGTCTGTGTGAGGGTGTCAGATTTTGGAGTTACAGATAGTTGTTAGCTGCCATGTGGGTGCTGGGAATTGAGCCCGAGTCCTTTGGAAGAGCAGTCGGTGCTCTTAACCACTGAGCCATCTCTCCATCTCAACAAGATTTATTTGAACAGCTTCCAGAAGAGAATATATGAATTTTATGTTGTCTGTTATTGCATAACAATCTAACCATAAAACTTGCACAGAATAACTGGACCTACAAGCACTTATTATCTCATAGTAGTCATAGCTCAGGACTGAAGAGCAGCTTAGTTGAGTAGTCCTGGTTTCCGTTGAACATGTAGCCAAGATGTTGGCCAAGGCTGAAGACTCTGAACTGTTAGCACTTGAGGATTTGACTTCCAAACTGTTCATTTACATGCCTGCACAAGTGAGTATTGGCTAATGTCAGGAGGCCAGCATTCTTTATCCTGCGGCTCTCCCTATGGGGTTTTGGGAATGTCTTCATAACATGGCAGCTGGTTTCCATCAAAATGAGCAAGCCAAGAAAGATTAGGACGACAACAGTAATAGTTTTATGACTTAATCTCAGAAACTTTCTATGGTGTCCTAATAGTTACAGTTTAGGAGGGAACCACATTGGGGTTTGAACACCAGTATCTTGGGATGACTTGGGATTTATCTTAGAGGCTAGACACAGAGGTATCAGAAAATACATGAAAAGAACCTCACTGTCTTAGTTGAATGTACCCTTTAGAGTTGTGTGTGTGTGTGTGTGTGTGTGTGTGTGTGTGTGTGTATGTATACAGAAGACAGTGGTTGATATCAGGTGTTTACCTCAGTTGCTCTTCACCTTATTTTTTGAGGCAGAGTCTCTCAGTGACCCTGGAGCTTACTGATCTGGCTAGATTTGCTGGCCAGAAAGCCCCAGGGATCTCTGTTTCTGCCTCCATACAACTGGTATCACAGATGGACTGTAGCATGCCTGGCTTTTTTTCAAGGGTGCTTGGGACTCAAAGAACTCAAGTAGTCATTTTTGCATGACAATGCTTTGCTGACTGAGCCACCCCCAAAGTTGTAGGATGGCTCTTAAAACTGTGACAGTACTTGACCCTACTAAGAATGCCAAACACCTGGGACACTCATATTTTGCTGCTGAAAATGGGGAATGCCACAGCAATTTGCAATGTAGTTTGATCATGTCTTACATAATGATGTTCATGTTTACTGTTTGCCCTATTACTTTACTCCTAGGCCTTGAAACAAGACAGATAGAAACACAGCTCTGTAGAAAGAGTGTATATGAATGAGGATGGCACTTTTACTCATAATTAATTACCCCAGACAGAAATACTTCAAACTTACTAGGCAGGGCCAGTGAAATAACTTGGCTGGTAAGCCTGATGATCTGAGTTTAATCCTCTGGATCTACAAGATGGAAGGGGAGAACCAGCTTTTCCAAGTTGTTCTCTCTCCTCCATGCATACACCCTAGCAACTGTCCCCTGCACTAACTAAAACAGAAAAAAAAATTAAACAAAACAAAACCAGATATTAGCCACAAGTGGAAAATCAAACTGGTGTATCTGTAAGATGGGATTTTGGCAGCTCATAAATAGAAAGAAGCTATACATGTGATCACAGTTAAATTTCAAAATCATTATGCTAAGTGAAAAAAAAGCCAGTGGAAAGGATTATACAGGGCACAATATCATACTTACTACATCCTGGAAAAGAGTCTATATAGGATCATTGGTGATTGTCAGGGACTGAGAACAAGTAGGAAGAGAAGATCAACTACAAAGGCCTTCAGAAACTCTTGGAGCTGTTGTAAATACCGTTTGTATTGTTCCTAGTAAGGAGCCTACTACCATATGCATGTTTTACCTAAGATCTAGCTAACAATGCCCCCGAAATCAGTGACTTTTCCTGTAAAGTGCTCTCATAAACCGGAGTTTAAAGAAATATAATTTAAATACCATAACAGATTCAGTGTTTCAGTGTTCTTTTTTGTTTTGAGACACTTATGTTTTTAATATTAGGTGAGATACTATTTTAATTATAATGAGAAAGCTATTTGGCAGTGGTGGGTTAGATGAGCCAGAGGTTGTAGAATGGGATGGGTAGCAGGTTCTCCAAAGAAACAGAACCTATTACATGTGCTTTTCTTAAGCCAATTGCTTAAAATGCAGCTAATGTGGAAGTCTGGCAAGTCAAAAATCTGATAGGAAGAATGATGTAGCCAAAGTCCAATGGCAGTTGTTGGCAGAAACATGATGAGCCTTGCAGAAGGTAGTATATTAAGAATCCTTTGTGTCTCTATGAAGTCACACGTCAGATCTGGTCAGAGCTTCAGTTCAATGGATGAGGCCCATTCACATTAAGGAGAACAATCTGCTTTACTGAAAGTCCCCAGATCCAAACAAAATTCTCACCTTAAAGCACCCTTACAGAAGTATCCACAATAATCTTTGGCCAAAGATATGGGTGCTGTGGCCCTGACAGGTTGTCATATGTTTAACCATCACAGGAGGGCACTGATTGATTGGGGAAGGGAATAAAAATCTACTAAAGTATCAGAATCTGAGTTGGGATGGTGCTGTCCTGGGTGCAAACATTTCTCAAAACTCATTCAGTGGTGAACTTCACTTCTGCACACTGTGATAAGTTATATACTTTCTTAAAATCCAGAAGATGCTCTGGGAAGCGTTATAAGGTGGATGTGACAGCCCACCTATCACAGTGTGTTAGTGTGCATTTTCCTGTGTGTGCATGTATGTGTACATGTGTGCACACACATTTGAGTGCCTATGTGTTAGTATGTGAGTATGCATATATGTGTGTGTGGTGGTGGGATTTGGTGATAATTGATGATTTCACTCAAATCATCTTCCTTCACTGGTCTTCCTGTTCTTGAGCCCCCCCCCCCCTGCCAATACCAAACACTTGAGCCACTTTTAATCAGCACCACTTTTAAGAACCCATTTTATTTCCTGCTGTTCTTTGGAAGTATGTGGGCTTTTTCTATTCTGCTCCCCCTTTCAAGTTACTAATTAGACCATCACTGCTCCCTTTACCAAAATAGAGAGACAGAAATGTATGATCTGTCTTACTAAATGACTAAGGAGGTAGGAATAAATTTAAATGGCATCTTTATCTTTTGTTAATGGAGGAAATAGAAAGGAAAGCATGTACAGGTATTATTCTAGTCATCTAATTTTACTCAGAGTTCTACATAATTTTTCCAGATGAAACTTGTGTCATTGGAGGACAAAGCAATAGCATCTTTAAGCTTGCTAACTGGTCTTTCATAGTTTACCCAAAGACAAATACATAGCATGGTGCTTATTTTAAATATTGAAAGCATTGAATTTGTCTTAAAATATCAAAATGCTTAGTCTAATAATCAGAATCTAGAAAATATCAAGTGAGAAGCAACTGATATTTGAAGAATCAATTTGTAAATCAAGGCAAATATTTTTGTATGCAAAGTAATCTAAATTGAAATGGGCAAAAGTATAAATTATAATGAAGTAGAAAGGATAATTTTATTAAAAATTTTTTCACTGTTCAAAGTTTATTTGGTGTTTTCATTGGCATGACACTTGGGTAGTTGGTTGCATCATCCATATGTAGATCTTTTTATATATTTCAATGCACACTACAGACACATAATACACAAAATAATATCCTTTAGAACAGTTATGCACAAATATCCATGGGATTTACCCACTGGAGCCACGTTATGACTAACTGGGAACTCACTGGCCTAGGCATGTTGGTGAGGGTGCGCAGCAGACATAGCAGGCTCCCAAGATCACCGAAGCCTGCACACAGTTGGCAGTGTGTCTCAGAGACAGTGGGACGACAGTGGGACTGCCACACCAACCAGGTTACCACTACACAAGTACGTACCACTTAGCATCAGGGTAGAGCTGTGGGAACTGCCACCTTAACACAACCACATAAACACAGCTCAGATGAGGAGATAGTGTGTGATCTCCATAGAAACCCTGCTGCAGCCTGGACAGTGAAGCTCTAGGACATCTGAGGACTTTAGAACTGCAGCTCTTTCTGAATGCCCCAGAGTGTATCTGCACTCTTCTTCAAGAGGGCCTCCTCTTTAGAAGTCAGAGTTACTTTCACAACATCTGAGATTCCATTTTGTCCCAGGATACAAAGGACACTGAGGAAGGCATCATCCTTGATTCCATAGGGACCCTAAATCATGGCAGAAATGGGATGCACCCGCCTAAGATTCTTCATCATACTCTCAGCCAGGTCAGTCACCAAGAGGCCAATGGCCCAGGATGTATATCCTTTGAGTTTAATCACCTCATAGGCGCTGTCAACCACCTGCTTGTGAACCTCCTTCCACTACTCCTTGTCTGCATCGCTGCCCAGTTCTGGGTTCAGATTCTTCAGGGAGACACCAGCAACATTCATACCACTCCACACAGGCACACTGGAGTCTCCATGCTCCCCTAGGGCCCATCCATGACAACTTAGCGGGTGAATGCCCAGCCTTTCTCCCATCAGGTAACGGAACCGAGCTGAATCCAGATTGCAACCACTCCCAATAACTCGGTTTTTGGGGAAGCCACTTATCTTCCAGGCCACGTAGGTCAAGATATCAACTGGGTTTGAAACAATAAGCAGCTTGCAGTTTGGACTGTACTTCACAAC